ATCTTTGTCTGATTTGGTATCAGGATAATACTGGCCTCATAGAATGGGTTGAGACATGTTCACTCTTCTATTTTTTGGAACAATTTGTGAAGAATTAACATTAATTCTTATCTGAATGTTTGGTAAAATTCATCAATGAAACCATTTAGGCCTGGGCTCTTCTTTGTGGAAGTTTTAAAAATTTGATCTCTACTTATTACAGGCCGAATCACATTTTTCATTTCTTCTTATATCACTTTCATTACTTTGTATACTCCTAGGAATTTGTCCATTTCATTTAAATTATCTAATTGTTAGCATACAGTTGTTCATAGTATTCCCTTATAATCCTGTTTTTACTTCTCTAAGTTTGGTAATGAATGATGTCCCTTCCTTTATTCCTGTTTTATATCTTATTTTTTCCCTTTGCCAGAGCTTTCCCTAGCTAAAGACTTGTCAATCTTTTTGCTCTTTTCAAGGAACCATTTTTGGTTGTTGTTTTTTTCTATTTTTTTCTATCTACTAAAAACTAAAAATAAAGAGAAAAATCTTTAAGGCAGCCAGAGGAAAACAAGACACATTGCTTGCAGAGGAAGAGGAAGCCCTGCAATACAGAAGATAACGGAATGATGCTACACTTAAAATAAATAGATATTTTTTAATTAATAAAAACATACTTTCTTTGAGTCTAAGGCTGTCAGTTTGATCTCTCCATGAGACAGTCTGCTTTACCAGGAAGAACCCTTTCTCTGTCTTCTAATTCCCAACCACCATGTCCCAGATTTTTCATGGTAGAGGTGATGGTTTATCCTTCAAGCACAAAGGGAAAAAACAACCAAAAAAGCAGTCCTTGCTGACACTGCACACAGTGCTCACCCCAGTGTAGACAGCAGTCTGTGCTGATTATGATGCTTTTAGGGAAACATTTTTTCTCCCTTATTTTGGTCCAAATTCAGTCATGACCAACCTTGTCTGCATTTTAGAATCAGCTGTGGGAGCTTTAAAAAGCTACCAAAATCCATCTACATCCCACACCAATTTAAATTTATTATCCAGTGGTGAAACCAGGCACTCTGAGAGTGTATGTGTATAAATATAAAATATATGTATGTGTATATATAAATATAATATAATACACACACACACACACACACACACACACACACACA